GTGAAGAGAGGCTATCCCTGGCATTTCACCAGGCTTCCTGACAATATGCCAGTACCCAGTTATATTCCAGGGTGAAGAGAGGCTATACCTGGCATTTCACCAAGCTTCCTGACAATATGCCAGTACCTAGTTATATTCCAGGGTGAATAGAGGCACTGTGAGAGTAAAGAGTTTTTCCCAAGAACACAATATGGTGATACAGTGACCAGGCCAGGTCTCAAACGTGGACCTCTTGACCTTGAGTCCAGTGCATCAACCATTAAACCACCACATCTTCCACAAACAAACAATTATTCCAACAATTTTAACTACGTTCAGTTGTAAAAACCAAAGGTTCAAAGGTTATGGTCATGACAAACTACGAAGACAACTGTTAAGATGAAATTCAGAGCAAATTCCTCTAATCTGATTGGTCAGTTTTGAGTAAACCACCCTGGAAACAATTGTTGCACTGTATGGGATGAACACTCTCAAGGCTTGTCTGTTGCTGTGAAAATCAAAGGCTAAGGGTCAGGAATATTTTGGTTGATCAAAACACTTAGGATTTTACAATACCTTGGAGGGGACCTTTGAGGGCTGCGGCCTCTATAATAATTATTGTAACCACCATAATAATCTCTACTGGGGGGAGGGCGTCGATCCATATAGGGGTCATAATATCGCGGTGGGGGACGGTCATAAGGTCCTCTTCTGGGAGGCCCATAATCGTATCCACGATAGTCGTATCTGTCCCGACGATCATCATACCTACATGTATTTAAGAGAATATCGACAAATATCAAAACCAACAGAGTATCATTGGCAAGAATTAAAAATGACATGAGTCAATTCAAAATCTACAAGAATTTTGCTTGTCAAACTCTGACAAAAAGTGCACATGAGATACCACACTGTTTCTACTAAGGAATAAATAATGTTTTACTAGTATTAAACTGAAAATTTCAAAACAAAGTCTTTCAATTACAACACTATGTTTTAGCATAACTAAGAAAATGATTCTTGTAACTTGATATTGAAGTGATCTGCTCATGCTGATGGTAAAAATAATTTGTACACAAAATTGTTAGTATCTCTAAATTATAACTTGGAAATATACCTTCGCCTCTTTGGACAATCTCTCGCCCTGTGGATCAAAAATTAAGAAGAAAATCCCAATTAATGAATCTTACGACCACCTATACAAAAATGCAAACAAACCAAAATAATACTTGAACAGCTGTGCACATGGTCTACTCTTATGGACATCCCAGAAGTTTCAACCTTAAACATTACCAAAAGAAGCTGGGACATTTATGAAAACCACTGCCACTACTGCAGAATTAAGGGCATTTCATTTTGTCCCAAGTCAACTTTACTTTCTTCAACAAACTGAACACAAATATCGATTTTTTTTTTCAATGATTCTCTTGGACTGCCTCAATTAGCATAGGTACCTGCAGTACCAAGTGATTTTGACCCAGTAAGACACCAATAAAATCTTAGTTACTACTTGAACTGAAGTGTGTACTACAAATCAAAATAAAATGGAAATACAAAGAGAGTAAAGCAACATAGATGTATGTTATATTTCACCCTAACAGTGGTATTCATATTCTCCATACTGTTCTCTATACACTTCTCTTGGTGCTGACAAGGAGAATTTATTTAACAATCAAAGCTTTTAGTGTTGTTGATCATTATTTTGATTGATTTTCATGATCAATGATACAGCAGTATTACTGTAAGGAGAAATTAGATGCTGGTCACTGTCAGGGTTTAAAAAGTACATGTATCTGTTGTAACAAGACTTGACTGTAATCATCCACACTCACCAATGTCCATGTTTACCACACTGAAAGCACTCATCCTCAGATGGCTTCCCTTTACTTTTTGCATACTAAAAATAAAACACTTCTCACTCGCATGAGCAATACTAGGAAAAACATGTATGATCAAGCAACTGTTGGAGTATACTGTCTTACAAAAACATGTTTAGGTAAAGAATGAGCTGCCATGTTGGCCGGCAATACTTATCAAAGTGATTCAAAAGCATTGTAAAAGTAAAGGTTTTTGAAAATGTTTTAAATATAGAATGCAATGGTTGCATCTTCAAATTATTTCATTTGCAGAATGGTTCTAAAAGCTGTAGTTTTGGTGAACAATTCACCTGGTCTAGTGTATAGAGTAGAAGCAAAAGTTTGGCTCTGCCATCTTGATTGTTTACTTTAATGAGAGCTCCTCCTACAGGGCTGTCATTAGTAGCCAGCAGCTGGTGATTATCGCCAGCTACTTCACTCACGAAATAACATCAAAAGTTTAGATACTGAGCAAGTCTGACCAGAATAGTCATTTCCTTGGTAGAATTATGAAAGGTAAAGTACTGTATTTATTCATCTATAAGCCGAACTCTACCTTAAGCTGAGACCCTAAATTTCGGTCTGTTTTAATTGGGAAGGTTCTTAAAACGTGTATATTGAAAATACTTGGCTATAAGCCAAGACCATATTCAGAGAATTCCATTCTCGAACAAACGGAAATGACTGCAAAAGTTTCGAAACAGCAAAGTGTTTCAATGCAGTATTGCCGTCAAAAACAATTCCGAGATAACCGGAGAGTACGTCATCGAAGAGTCTATGGTCCGCTGCTAGAGGAAAGATCAAGAGAACCTCTTTAATAGAGAGCTCAAGATGTCAGCAAAATGCACAACAATGGGATGCTACACTTCGAAATATCTGTGGCTGAATGAGAGATTACTTGACTGGTTTACAGAGCAGAGAAGCCAAGGTAAGTTTTCTTTTTATGTGATCGCAAATTTCAACACCGTAATATGCGACAAGTTTGTTTACCAATCGTGGGAATGGGAAATTCTGATTGGTCAGTTTTGAAATTATCAGAACACTTTTGCAAGATCAATGACTTGTTCAAAACCTGCAGAATCTCTAACACTCTAGACAGCATGGAAGATGAAGCAATCTACTCAGAAGAAACAGTAGAACCAGCGGATGAGGAGGAAATGGACGACGAATTTGACGCTGATACTGAGGACAAACAGTAAGCTGTATTTACTACGCACTGAAAACAATAAACCGTGTTTATAATTTATTTATGTGGTGGCTTCCTTTAGAAGCCACCACATAAATAAACTCAATGACCAACTTCACATTGTTTTGTTATTTATTTCTGGGTGCAATATCTTGGCTTATAGACGATTATATCTATGTTTCCTGTTTCGGAAAAATTATGTTAGGAAAAACACTCGGCTATAAGCCAAAAACCCTCCTCTAGCTCAAATTTTCGAGATTTTGGTAAAGTTTTGTGAAGAAATCACTCAGCTTATAGATATATACGGTATATTGCAATTTCTCAATCATTTTATTAGGTAGTTTTCACTGGGATTCCCTCATTTGTCCTCAAATGTCAGAGCACTAAATAAAAATCTCTCTCCTTTATACTTCACGCTACAAATTCAATAAAATTTGGTCAAACTGTTACACCAGGCAACAAACTCTAGTTTATTCATAGCATTTGTAGACAGAAACTTCTCTTATTTCTTTTTTCTCCAAATACGATTACAGGGATAAGAGAGACTGCCTTAAAATGTCTCCAGGAAAAGGCTTAAAATGGTATTTAAGCTTGTGCAACTCTGCAGGCACAGGAAGAGCTTTCTGCAAATTTAGATTTAATAAATGTTTTGTTCTCGATTGTGATTGTCTTTCTGGTGGGAGACACCTCTTGAAAATGCTGGAAATGGCATTTGCTTGACTATCGATTTCATAATTTTCTTAGGGGGTGGAGTGGGGGGGGGAGCCTACTATTTTTATCAGCCACCTCAACTGACTAGTCATTATAGTACTGTTCTTTTCAAGAAGTGAGACTTACTAGAATTTCTCTGAGGAAAGGCAATTTTTGGTAATGTCAAAATGTTTAACTCATTTTGCTTCCGAGGGCTTTGCCCCCTGGACCCCTAACAGGGCTCTTCCCCTGTACCCCGCTGGTGACCTGGGTGGCCCCCAAACCCCTCACCTGTGAGGGGGCCTCTGGCCCCCTTAACTGTCTACTTTCAAAATATCTCCACCTACTTCATATCTTATTGACAGCCCTGAATCCTAAACAATAAGTGCATTGAACCCACAAGAGGAGGACTGATTTTTCCATAGTGAAGATCAAATCTTATTTAACAAGTAATTCACAAAGGAAATGCATTTTCTGTTGATCAGATCCTTGTTACATTTTTTCTTTGTCTGTTAGGAAGTCAGTCCCCAATTTTTTTACAAAATATATTCAGTTTTCTTTAAGTTTTCAATCTCAATCACTTCATTTCTAGTGCTTTAAACTTAATTCTGTATATAAAGAATGCACAATGGTCTTACTTGCACTTGTATGTGAGTTCCTGAAAATTCTGAATCATCTAATTTATCAACAGCCTCTTTTGCACCTTTTTCACCGACCATGTGCTGAAAACAGAAATAAAAAACAAAATTCAGAATTGGATACATTATGAACAGTTAATGGTTTGAAACCGGGAGTAACATTTTATTAAAAACCAAAGTGATTTGAGAGAAAGAGAATTTAAATAAGGTATTTATCAGCCAGAGGTTATGACTGAAATTTCTGCTTATAAATGCTGCCCAGCCAGCAAAACAAATTATATTTTGAAAGTACGAAACAGTGCTAAGGATGTACTAGGCAACTCAAAATTTATTTATCTATTTATAAAAAATATAGAGGGAGCCCAGCTTGCCATAGCGGTTTTCAGTGAGGCCCTCAATTGTGGCCTCAGTTGAGGCAAATTGAGGCCAGCTGAGGCCCTCAATTGTGGCCAATTGTGACCCTCATTGAGGCCCTCAAAACCCCACAGATAGGATACCACTTGAGTGGGCCAAATGGGAGAATAGTGCCTGCTCTTTGAACCAAACAGATTCCAGGTTTTGTGGAATACTGCTGGTTCACACATCAAGAAAAGAATTTTATTTTCTATTTTCTCATCACTACTCTGCTTGATATGGGATTGACACTGTGAGGAGAAATTCTTCCTTGATCACACATGGGAGTTTAAAGGGAAAGACTTGTTAGCTGAGGAAAGATTTTGACACCTTAAAAACACACTCAATTCTGCATATGAATTTGATATATTTAAGGTGGCTGAATACAGTTTTTGCCCACACTTTTGCTGATGCAATTCAGCACGTGCACAGGGATTGCAAAAAACAAACATGCCGTCAATAGAGCAGTAATTTTATTTACTTAACACGTACCCGCACTATCTGTGCTATTTTTCTCTATAGTTGGTGCAGTGTATTGAAGGCTTTAATCTTTTATAACAAAGATATGTAGGAAAAGTTAACGGTACAAAGAACCCAGCAATTCTCAGCTTTTTTGTCGTTACAGAAAGAACCCAGTTAAATGCAGCGCATGCGTAGTAAGTCAAAAATTGCCATTGAATAAAAAATTGCTTTCTCGGAAATATGCCTATTTCTTGAGAACCAATCATTAGAATTTTATGAAATTTGGCACGAAAATACTCTAGGAAATAAGTAAATGGAGTATTGAAAAAAATTGATTTTAAACAAAGGAAATTCTAGAAAATCAAGTGAACCTTGAACAAGGGATAATTAAAGATCTCTCTGTTAAATTGTCAGCAAAATGGTGTTAACTTGTGAGTATTGTTAGAAGCTTGGTACATGCAAATT